GGTAGCTGAATATAAGACACACAAAAATAAACTTAACTGTTCCAAATTTATAGGGAGTATTATTGCAGGAATGAAAAAAAGAGAGATAAAATAAAATAGAAGGGTAGACTGCAAAGACTTAAAAGATACTCTTATCAAACTCCAGATGACCTCAAAAAAAGCTTTATGCAGGCCATAGACGGGTCGTTTATCAGCCGAATTTTCATCCGCACGAAAAATCGGCCGATAATCACGCCGTTAGTGGGGCCAGCCCGTCGGCCGTTTTTCACGAATCTCCTCATTCATTTTCATGCTGGAAAATCCACGAAAAACGTCCGTTTTTTGTGGACATGGGTGGCAGCATCAGCAACGGGGCCAATCGATTTTTCGTTTATTGGCCAAAAGTTCAGCCGATAAACGGCCCGTCTATGGCCTGCCTTACTTCCTTGGCAAAAACAACCCCCATTTTAAGATGATGAAGAACACTGCTTCAGTTTAAGAAGGTGACCAGCGAAATACAAAGCCATTAAATATGTTATCGTTATTTTAAATATTTGTCTTTAACATATTAGCCAACATAATCTACAGGGATTTCACTCCCAAAACAAACTACATCAACAATAAACATTTGCACATTTGTACAGCACTAAGAAGAAACATTGAACATTATGAATAAATTGGGTGATATGAAACCTTGTGGAACTGCCAAACACATTTAATCTGAGGTTTTCAACCTCATAGAGTGCTAGTAACAACTGGGCTTAGATAAGAATCAGAATATTTAGTCTTAAATTAGTATCTCTCTATTTCTACAGGCTTATGGAAGAAAGAGGTATATTCAACCCCTTATATAGCTATGTTTACTTATCTGAGCATAATGTTTACAACTGAGGCAGGGAGTGCAAGGCCCCCTGAGGTCTGACAATAGCCTGAACTAATGCTAATAACACACACCATCTTCCAGCTCCTAGGTAAACAGTACTGAACAGATAGCCCTGTAGCTTTTTATACTACTCTTTAGTACAATGCTCTGTTCATTATTTTTTCTGTTCATTATTTTTTGTAATGAGAGTTAGGCCCAAAAAAGTTTTAAATACAGAAACCGTGATAGGTTTCCATGTGCATTGTTTGGCAAGAGCTAATTTTGTTGGGCGGTGAGGTATTGTTGTGCATATAAATTACCTTGGCCTACAATCAATTGGTACAAATCTTCAGTGAAAAATTAAACACTAGTGCTAGCAGCAAACAGGGCCGATCCTGCTAACACTGCGTTTGTGGGGACACTATACAAAGCAGGCACTAGTATAGTTCTGTTCATGATCAATATATTGATCCGTACAAACACTATACTAGTAATGGAGGTGATCAGAGACCTATAGTGTGAGTGCGATAGTGTGCAGACAATGCTAGCAGACCCTGGCTAAGAGGGGTGCTAGCTAACTGACCCTGACACTATCTGATGTCGCTAGTGGCAGGAATTCAGTGATCAGTGAAAAATTCTATATACTGACACTGTACTAATGGCTCTGGCTGGGTGACGGGGTGATAAAAGGGTTAATAAGGACAAACAAAGGATAAATGTACTAATCTAATGTGTGCGTATAAAATGTAGTGCTTTTACTTGGTGTGGTGTTCTCTCTTCTCTCCCTGGACAGACCGGGGGGACAGAGGGGGGCGCAGTCGCGTTCACACCCCGTTATAGGAAGCAATGTAAGATTACATCACTTTGCCCAGAGCCACTGCTCGCCCGCAAAATGCGGGTAAGCAATTGGTAAGTAGTTCGAAAAAAAAAAAAAAACCCTTAAAATTTTTATTTTTGTTTAATTCTCAATATGGTATATTTTATTTTTAACATTTACTTTTTTTTTTAATACTTTTATCAGAATAGTACATTACCATTGTACTACTGTGGGGGGTTGATCAGTGATTTTTTTTTTTACACTTTGCTTTGTAGGAGAAATAAAGATCATTTCTCCTGCAATGCAAAGCTTGCTGTCATGAACCTAACCCATTCATGAACTGTCATGAATGAGTTAGGTTTTTTATCACATGATCACCAGGATCTTCATTCCGCTGTGTGTCCGCCAGACACAGCAATGGTGGTGGGTGGGAGGGGGAGCGCTGCGCGGGTACGTCGCTTTGCCTGTAGCTGCCGCTCAGCTGCAGTAGTTGCAGGCGGGTGGGCAGGAAGCGGTTAAAGTGTTAACTTTTTTTTTTAAATAATAAATATATCATACTTAACTGCTCAGTGTAATGGTTTTGAACAGAGCAGCCTGATCCTCCTCTTCTGGGGTCTCCCGCACAGGCTTGATCTCATGCCATGCTGGCTGGGTCTAATGTCCCTGTGCTCCATTGTCACAGGATTTGATTGTCAGCAGCAGGAGATTTCTGCTGCTTCTTCTGTGTCCTGCGAGGTGGGTGAGAGACCCTGACATCTGTGACCCAGAGAGAAGCAAACTGTAACCGATGTCTCCACACTCTCAGGGAGTCAGGGAGCCCCTTTAATGTGAAGGAGGCTTTGGGAAAAACTTTCCAGCTTATTTGGGCCAAACCTTGTGCCAAAAGGAAGGGCTGAACCTAGTCTTTGTATCTAAAGCCTGGGTAGAGCAGAAAGGTGCTCTGCATTTTGAGGAGTTTGGGGCTCCAGAGGAAGAGGCTTTTAGAATCTTCCTTTGTGGAACTAAAACTTTTCCTCCGGTGACCCTGATCAAGTTCCTCACCAAACAGGTGTCCAAGATTTAAGCCATAGGATTATGCACATATAAGTAGATATATTAGCCTTTCCTGGGAAATTGTTCTATGAAAAGCTCTAGTCTAGGGCATCCAAAACAGAAAAGCAGAGAAGAAGGCAATTGCTCTGTAACAACATAACACTGGAATACGGGGTCATGTTGGTTGCTCATTCTCCTAGTGCAGTTAGCTGCAGGTTGACCTACTGAAGTTGCAGCGAAAGCTGGTTGCACGGCTGGCCCTGTAAGTTTAAAAAGAGCCTTTAAGAGCACCTCAAACTTTATATCTGCAGAAACTTTGAAAGAAAGAACATGTTGAATTGGTTCAAACAAACTCTGTTTCCACTGAATAAAGTTCAGCAAAGATTTTGGGGGAAAGAAAATTATTTCGGGAGTGACCCAATCATCATACACTGTACATTCTGTTCATGAACAAGGAACGTTTTGCAGGTTTTTGAAGGTCTGTATCCAAAAGGGCATGGCAAGATGGAGGAGAGTAAGGTTGCACAATGCCAAGGCTTTTGCAGACAGAGGTAATAAGCTTTTCAATGTTAGCATACATGCTGCGTGAAGCTCCCTCTTCAACACAACAGTGGCTTGGAAAAGAAAAATCTTCCACAGCTTCCTCCAATACTGTCTCAATATCCTCTTCATTTCCTTCTGTGTCTTTTAGCACCAGCATATTGAGATCCGACTCAGGCTGAAAATCAGGAGTTAGGAGAAAAGGTGGGGCTTTTCTGAATGCTGGACAAAGATGTATCAAGGTTCCAATCTGTCCAAAGAATTGTAACACAGATGCAGAAAATTCTGCTTTGGTAAGGTTGAATGCATGTTGTGTGCCTGAAATAGAACTAGAATTGGATGTAGACATCAGTGTTAGAACCAGGTGCTGCTCTGGTGCAAAGGATGCATCATCACTCTGAGGCTGAGTGTTATGCAGGCCTTTGTCAGAAAATAAATACTTTCCCGCAGTTTTGAATTGGGTCCCTTTACCTTTGTCTCCACCGTAGCCACAAGTGAGGGTATTCTCCTGGGGGTTACTCATGGAATAGAGTGCAGGAAACAGGTAAGTGTGCTCAGAAGGAGTATGCAGTAAGCTAGGTGTAGACCATTCTGTAAAAAATCCTTGTGGTGAAACGACGGGAGGAAGTGCCTGAGTACCTTATAAGGGCTCTAGGCAGAGGTGACGTTAAAGTGTGCAACAAGTGGTGTGATGTAACACCTGGTCATCCACCTGAGATTGAGCTCTGAATGAATTACATTTTAGCAAGTTTGATTAGTTTGCACTGCAAAGAGAATACATTTCAAACATAGCCCTGTTTTTACAGCTACAGTCAGACATACTGGGTGACCCTGTTTTATCTGACCATGATTCTGGACTGTATTTAAAGTCCATGCTTCACTCATCATGCTGGGCATGCCCCCAAAGGGGTTTTCAAGGACCTGGACCTGTAAAGCACCCTGTGGCTGACTCAATGTGTTGCACCAAGTACCGAGGGGAATGCCCATGCAGAATCCAGAGTCTGAAGCAACATTACAGATGATCCCTATAGCGTGCAGTCTGGGTACAGCTCCCAAGGTTTTACCGAGGTTGCATTGATCTGGATATTCTGCTTCAGTGTAGACATTGGAAGACCGATTGAAGTTTTAGAAGAAATCAGTAAAGAAAAATAAGAAACTTTTGTTGCAAAGGAGAAGAGGTCCATCACCTACAGGTACTAGCACAAAACTGAGAATTCACAATGTGGGGTGGGGTTGTGTTCGCAAAAGCTTGCCAGTGTCCAGTCATCTAAAGGTATGCGACTATGAACCATAGTGTATGAATATGTTCCCTTTACTGTACCATTAAAATAATACAAGCCAATCCTTTGAGAAATTCTGTAAGCTCCAAACTTCATATGCACTCTGTATGTGCTACAATGTATTATCAAGCAGTCTTATCAGCCCTGCAAAGTTTTCCTCTATGAACTACAAAAAAGCCTCCCCTTTCTTAACATTATGGGGATGAGGTGTTTTATAGTACAAATCAAGAGTAAGCATCCTAGGGTGACCATTCAGCTGCTCCACAGATACAGTACAATGAGAGTTGTCAACTTAGGATGGGACGTGTGTTACTGGCAGTGTTACCTTAAAACAAAGGAAAAGAAGCCTAAAAAAGAAAATTATTTCTAAGGGCTGGTTAGCAGCATAAATTTCCTTTATAACAATGTTTATTTATGAGTCCTAATATTCATGTGACAGTGTGTAATTATAGTATTAACAGTAAAAAAAATGCACAGTGAATTCTCTCACCTCAGCAACTCCATGTCATTGAAGTTATATTTTACTTTATAATCACCGATCCTGCGGGTACTTGCTTGGCCCCCAATTACAGCAGTCTGTTTTATCTTGACTGTGTCCAATCCTAATGGTATGCCATAAAATTTGTCATCAGTACTTTAGCTACAAGTTAAGTCCAATGAAAATGTGTATTTAAATTCTAAAGCTCTTGAAATACCAAAAGGACTTTTCTATATCCTGGAGTCTGGATGCAAGATCCATTTTGTTAAGTTCTTAGCTCCACCACTGCCTTTACAAATCACAATGAAAGTGTTACGCACATCCTACTGGATTTTTACAATGTAAATTTTGTAGCTCAAGGATGAATCCAGTGATGAAAGTCTGATAACCTTGTAGTGGACTTGGTGGGATGTAGAGAAACTAGAACTACAGGAAAGAGAATACTACCAGGGTACCTCCTATTAAACTTTCAAGACCACGGGTCATCAAAAGCTTTCAGATTTTGACCTTTTAGTGCACAGCAGTTTCCAGTAACTTTTTAGCTGATTTAAACACCAAACTGATTTTTGCATCTTTCATTTATAGCTCAAATGGAGCCTTAACTAAATTGCTTTTATAAATTCACTATATTGTTATAATAATCAGAAATAGACCAAGTTGCAGAAAAAATGTAGTTCTAGTTTTTTTGATTAACCCCTTCCTGACAAGCAGATGCACACAAGTGGCCTCACTGAAGTGGACCTTCTTCCGTGAGGCTTCATATGTGCTATTCTTTGTTTGGGCTGGAAGAGAGCTGCATATCATGTCACCAACAGCTCCAGGTCTCCTATCAACAATCGCTGTGATAGCCTGTGATTGGCTATCACTGTGATTAGTAATTATACAGCCTGCCCCTATACTCTTTTTCTTCTGGAATGGAGAAAAAAAAACAAACAAAAAAAAAAAAAAACACTGGGGGGGCTTCTGCACACAGAAAGTTTTTTTTTTACCTTCATGAAGGTTAAAAAAAAAACCTTGAGCCTTTACAATCACTTTAAAAAGGGAAATTTTTTTTTTTTTTTTTTTTTTTTTTATTTAGTGGCAGTGTGTTTTTCAAAAATGCACACTATTGTTTCTGGACTCTGCAAAGTCATATATAATATTTTCATCCCATATTTTCCTGAAAATGGCAGAAAATTAGGCGGGTGCTATAGCAACTACCAAATGGAAATTGGTAACGTCATAAAACAGAAGCATGCACTTCAAACACTACATATCTTCAAAAAGTTATCCTTTCAAGTGGTCATATCACAGCAGTAAAGTGCATTTTGGTTCCATGCAGGACCCGTTGTTCAGGTGTATAATACATTTAAAATGCCATCCACCAATCAAAAACCTGCACAAGGAGCCAGCTCGCTGACCTCTGAAGTCATAAAAAAACACCAATAACCAATCAGAGTAAGTGTCAGAATAAATCATCCTGTATCCTTATACATAACCATAGTAGTGAGTATGGGCACTGAATAGAAGCTGAGGTAAAATTACGGACTGAGCATCACCTGATCGCATCTGACAGATGTGTTAGATTGGGGACTCACTGCAAGGCTCATGCATGTGACCTGTGGGCTAATGCACCATGGCTACTAAGGATGCCAGGCAATCAGGCCACCGGTGCAATGGAGACTCATGACGTAAGCCATTCAGCCATCTGCATGTGTCAAAAAAACCCCCAAAAAAACCTATGGCATTCAAAACATTCTGTTCTTTGCAAAAGTTTTTATGGTTCCTTTGCTTATGTTGGGATCTGCCTGTACCGAAAAGTCACCAATTTTGGTGGTACCTTGAGATTGGGGGGAAGGAAGGAAGGAAGGGGTGGGTGGGTGTTAGGAAGGAAGGGGTGGGTGGAAGGGGTGGGTGGAAGGAAGGAAGTAAGGGAGGGAGGGAGGGAGGGGGGTGGGGAGGAAGGGAGGGGGGGGGTGGGTGAAGGGAGGGGTGGGGAGGGAGGGAGGAAGGAAGGGAGGGGTGGGTGAAAGGGAGGGGTGGGTGAAAGGGAGGGGTGGGTGAAAGGGAGGGAGGGATGGAGGAAGGGGTGGGTGAAAGGGAGGAAGGGGTGGGTGAAAGGGAGGAAGGGGTGGGTGAAAGGGAGGGGTGGGTGAAAGGGAGGGAGGGAAGGGAGGAAGGGGTGGGTGAAAGGGAGGAAGGGGTGGGTAAAAGGGAGGAAGGGGTGGGAGGGAGAGGGGGCAAGGGAATGTAGAAAGAAAACTGAACAGTTAGGTATGTTGTTTGCAGCGGTGGGGGCAGTGACAAGCAGCGATCCCCTGTATGGCTTTCAATGAAGCAGCTGGAAGTTGCTTCTCATCCTCTCCCGCGGCTTCCATCTGCTTTATTGAAAACCATACAGGAGATCGTTGCTGGTCACTGCTCCCACGGCCGCCACTCCCACACACCCCTAGTCCTGGAACTGCTCGCCGTCCCCACCTTATTTCCACACCTTGAGTGGAAATTTCGAGGGTTTCAGGGATGGTTGGCAACTCTCCTCTGGAGGGTGTTTAGACCCTCCTGACTTCCCCCTTATCTACGCTCCTGCTGCAAGGGGCAGGGCACAGACGGCGATGTCATGTGGCGGATCTGTCATTGCGAACTGGCGGTCCAAGAAGGGAGCGCTGCTGGGGCCGTTCTCGGACCACGGTCCGCCATTTAGTGACCTCTGGTTTAAAGGGAAGGGCAACAAACTGAGAGAGATGTGTGCACTTAGCAGAAAGCACTGATGTGTTTGGAAGATGGGGACATATAAGCAGGCATCCTTGATGTCCTCAGACCAGAAGTGAAGGGGAGGAGGTAGAGGAAAAATGTCTAGCTAGATACCACACATTAGACTCAGTCGACTGATATGTCCTGGGACCAGGTGGTCACATAGGCCAGCAAAGGCACAACCCCCTATTTTGAAAGCTGAGGCATGGATGCGCAAATTATATCACCCGCCGCCTGGGACATGCAGTTTTAGGTGCCGGCCAGGGTTTATTATTTTTTTTAAATGTATTCCTACTGCAAGGAAGCAGCAATCCGGCTCTTCCAGGTAGGGGGAACTGTGTGTGAGCTGGTTCTGCTTGGTGCCCTGGGGATGCTCTGGTGTGGTTCCCTCTGCAGCAGGGGTCTTTTCTGTCTGTTTGTCTGGGTTTAGTGCCCCTCCACGGATGCATGAATCTTGTGGCCAGGCTGGTCGGTAACAGAGGCCGGGGCTTTGCGGTCTGCTGTAGAACGATACAGAGTCTGTCATCTTGCTTGTAGGCATTTCCCTGAGAACCAGTGCCCTCCTGTGGTGGGCGGAATTGTGGTAAGCAGTCACTGGTGCCCGCCATCATGACTGGGGGTTTTCCTTGCCTGCGCTCACTGCCTGCCCACCTCTAACATCTCCTTCCAAATTTGGCAGCTATGTACTGGGGTAGCAGCTGTAGATGCAGGGCTTGATTTGATGCCCTTTCCTTACTGCTGGAGAGCGGGTGGGGAGTGTGGGGCAGCTAGCTTTCCCCCACCCCTTTCCCAAAGTGGGGAAACACAGGTGACACTGCATTGTCTTCAGTTTCTCCCTGTCCTGCCACAGCCACACCTACCTTGGGCCAGTGTCCTAGTGGGGACAGTTTGCATGCTTTCCGCTGTGTTTGGTTTGTGGCTGGGGCGCAGAAGTGCTGTGCCCACCATTCCTTTCACAGGGATGAGCAAACTATACTGCTTGATGTCTGGGACATGCAGTTCCAGGCACCGGGCAGGTGTTTATTATTATTTTTTAATTTAGCCCTGCTGCAGGCAAGCAGAAATCCGACTCTTCCGGGCAGGGGATGTGTGCACCTGCCACCCTGGCTGTGCTGTCATTTGCTCCAACACCTGCCGATCACTGGGTCCTGGCCAATAATTTATGGCTGGGACCTGCTGACCAGCGGAGCGAATGACAGAAGACATCCCTGTGTCTACCAACACAGGGCTCTCTACAGAGAGCAGCGATGTGCCGGCCTTTGTCTCCCTGCAAAGCAGGGAATAAAAACCGGCACATTGCTTAGTGAAAGTTAACAGTTAACATTAACTGAATTTGTGCATTTTTTTTTCTATAAAGAACAAGTAGATTGTCAAGAGGGACAAGCAGATTGGCACCCGAATTTAGTCTCTTGGACAAGTAGTTTTCTTTTTAAATTTCCACTTCCATGAGGGCATCCCCTTACTGTGAGGAGGAATTGTTTGTGAGCTTGGAGGACTTAGAGGTAAGACAAAGTTGAACAAAGTCCCAGATTTGGTCACAGACTTGAAGGTCTGAGGGGAATGAAGGAACTCTTCCTAGAAGGAAAGAGTTTCCCAGCCTGAAGGATAGCCCTCTTTTGTGGCGGCAATAGGGTGCTCTTTCACCTGGTGATGTCCTTAAAGGAATTGTTCCTCATCAAAGGGCATGTGTATTAAGTGCTTTTGCATTGTGGTTCCCCAACCCATCCTTTAAGCCAAAGGGTTCTTTACATATGAATCCAAAGTAGACCCATTATGGTTTCTACATGTGTTATATCTGCTAACCCATATATTCAGTAAGGTGGGGCCACAGACAGAAGCTTCAGTACCTGAAAGACTGAAGAATCCATTAGAATAGAACCAGGTTTCCTAGACATATCCTTGGACCAAACAATCAAAGTCTGGCAGATGGACCTGTTTACAATAGCAGGTTGTAAGATAGGCCCAAGATGGAGAATATGGGCTTGGATAGGGCTTCTAAGTGCTTATCCAAAGGAGCTTAACACACTGAAATATCCACCACAGGGAAAGTCAGAATCTTGTTAATACAAAACATGGCCGGAACCTCTACAAGTACAGATCACTTCCTAAGGAACCTTTCCTCAATAAGGGAGTAATCCTTATAACACTGGTTGCAGAAGTGACTGCACTGGGAAGGTTTTGTCAGCTGGGGGGGGAGTCTGATGAGTCATCGTATCCTCTTCCCCATTCAAAGGATGAAGTTATAGGCAGTAAAAGAAAAATCAAAAATCTTCTCAATGACAGAGGAGATGGGACTCCCCTGGGAGCTTGTTTTTTCACAAGAGCACAGTCCACAGCCAAAAGCTATTAACCCTCTTTGTATGCCTTATGTTCAGCCACAGGAAGAGGGCAGGGCATCCCTCCCTTCAGTGATGATTTCTTTAGGACCCAGCTGCCTGAAAGACATGGGACCTTCTGCAATACAGGTAAGTTATGTCATGAAAGCTGTGAGAAAAAAAAAAAAAGGCTAAACTTCAGCTTTTAAGTCTCATGCCCCAGAAAAAGTGAAAGTTAGAAAAGTCAAATCTGCATACTTGTTTGGGATCAGTGACAGTATTTATTAAAGTTAAAGAATCGATAAGACATCCAGGCAACTAGCATTTTCAAAAGGAGAGGTCAGCAGTGTCAGCTTTATCCAGTTTACTTTAAAAGTCACATTTACCAAACTCCTTTAAAAATTATTTGCAATGCAAAGGAAAATCTTAATGATCATATTCACGTCACTGGTGACTGATGACTTGGTAGCCCTGGTTTATAAAGGCATCTAAAATATTAGTAGCTGTAGCCTGGAAATTCCAGGCTGATTCTGGCAGTGGGCAACGGTGACTCATTTAAGAGCCATTTATCACTGAGACTCATTGCAAGAAAATATAAACATACCAAGCTGGGATAGTCGGAATATCTCATCCTCATTTTCTGTTGTGTGATCTGCATTAAGCTGGGTGACCTGTAGTCCATCAACTGTGGATTTGCAAAGCAGTGCCCTGTTAGTACCTGATAGAAAAAAAAAAACCACATCAACTTTATTGTATTCCATGTCAATTGATTTTTTTTAGGATTTATCACAGTACATGGCCAAAAATACAGACTACTGTTAGGTAAGCACATAGATACAAGTTTAAAATCATTCACATTCTAAATACTCCAGTATGTCCAATACTAGTGATATTACAAGTATATTTCAAATATCACTAAGCAACTGGACTTGTGTACAATATAGTTTGACTGTTCACATGATTGGAGAGTCACCTGAGATTAACAGTTTAATTAACCACTTGCCAACAGGGCACTTATACCCCCTTCCTGCCCAGGCCAATTTTCAGCTTTCAGAGCTGTCGCACTTTGACAATTGCATGGTCATGCAACACTGTACCCATATGACATTTTTATCATATTTTTGAGACAGATAGAGCTTTCTTTTGGTGGTATTTAATCACCTTTTATTTTTTGCTAAACAAACCAAAAACTGAAAATTTTGAAAAAAAAAAGTTTTTTTCTTAGTTTTTTGTTATACAAATTTTGTAAATAAGTGATTTTTCTCCTTTACTGATGTGCGCTGAGGCTGCAATGATGGGCATTGACAGGTATCACTGATGGGCACTGAAAGGCAGCACTCATATAGCACTGATAGGTGACTCTGAAAGGCAGCTCAGATGGGCACTGATATATGGCATTGATGTGCACTGACAGCTGACATTCATGGGCACTGACAGTTGGCACTGCTGGGGCTACACTGATCATCAGGGCACACTGATCATCAGTGCCCTGATGATCAGTGTACATGTCCCCTCTGAGGAATGACGATTACCGGCTCTCCTCTCGAGCGGTCAGAGTGACAGCTCGTGAGGAAAGAAATGCCGATAACTGACATTTCCCTATTTACATGCGATCAGCTGTGATTGGACACAGCTGATCACATGACCGAGCCGACATCTTCGGCTTTTTGTTGATCGGTGATCCGCTGTGTCCGATGGACACAGCGCACCACCGATCACCACATTGCGCGCTCCCGGAGCCACGCATGCATGGTTAGACTGGTAGGACGTCACATGACGTCCTCCCAGAACAAGAGAACCGCCTTGCGCCTGTCATTTCCTTATGTGGCGGGCGGGAGGCGGTTAAAGTGCTTGAACTCATGAAAAGAAAAACTCACTAGACTGTTTTAGAAATTGTTAAGAAAATACAACTATCTGATATGGTAAGCTTTAACCACTTGCCTACCGGGCACTTATACCCCCTTTTTTGCCAGGCCAATTTTTGCGCTTTCCAGCACTGTCGCACTTTGATTGACAATTGCACGGTCATGCAAGATTGTACCCATATGGAATTGTTATAATTTTTTTTTCTCACAAATAAAGCTTTCTTTTCGGGGGAATTTAATCGCCGCTGGGCACTTTACTTTTTGCGCTATAAAGAAAAAACGTGCAAAAAATTTGAAAAAAAAAAAAAAGTTTCTTTGTTTCTGTTATAAAAAATTTTCAAACAGGTAATTTTTCTCCTTCACTGATGTGCGTTGATGAGGCAGCACTGATGGGCACTGATAGGCGGCACTGATAGGCAGCACTAATGAGGTGTCACGGATAGGCGGCACTTATAGACAGCACTGATAGGTGGCACTGCTAGGCATTGACTGGCGCAACTGCTGGGCACTGACTGGCACAACCACTGGGCAATGACTGGTGGCACTGACTGGCAGCACTGGTGGGTGGGCACAGGTGGGTGGCACTGCTGAGCACAGGTAGGTGGCACTTCTGAGCACAGGTGTGTGGCACTGCTGGGTGGCACAGGTAGGTACACTGCTGAGCACAGGTGGGCGCACTTCTGGGCACTGATCATCAGTGCTGATCCCTGCTCTGACAACTGCCGGTTCTCGGCAGTACTTTCCTCACGCTCTGACAGAGTGAGGAAAGTACAGCCAAGAATCGGCAATTGCATTTCCCGGTGATCAGCGTGTCATTGGACATGGCTGATCACGTGGTAAAAGGCCGCTGTGATTGGCCTTTACCACATCACGTGATCAGCTGTGTCCGTAGGACACAGCGATCACGGAGATCGCCGGGGGCGTGCAGGAGAGCGCGTTCTGGGAGGACGTCATATGACACCCTCCCAGAACTGGCCAGCCACAGTGTAGCCATCATTCGGCTATCTGCGGTCGGCAAATGAATCTGCAGACAGACTATAGTATCACATACTGTATTTACATATTAATTAACAAGCAGTAAATTAACTTTAAATTAAGCCCTACTGACCTCTGTACCTGAAAGCACTGTGGAGTAATTAATCCCCAAAATAAACAGCAGAATCTCCAAGGTCTTTGTCTAAGCCAGCTAGCTCAATATCCCCTTCCCAATAGGGACTTCGCAGCCTTCTAATCTCTATTGTAAACAGAAAACAGTAGCTCAGCTTGGGGGGCAATCAGGGTGCAGCTGCAAGGACTTGAATGCTTTCAGTATTTCTGCAGTGAAATTGAGGATGGATTTCTATATAGTGCCTGCATCTACAGGGGTTAGTTAGGGCTTGTTTTAAAGTACATTTAGTGCTTGTTAAACATAAATACTTAAAGAATAACTCCACAAAAAAAACCCAATCCCCTATGCATAATCAATGTACACTCACTGGCCACTTTATTAGGTACTCCTGATCAATTGCTGGGTAACACAAATTGCTAATTAGTCACATGGCGGCAAAGCATTTAGGAACAGTTCACACCACAAACACATTCCGGATACATTTTTGCTTTCAGTTTACACCACACTCTGTTCCAGTGTGTTTTTTGATACATTTTGCTATCTTACAGTACAATTCTGTGCAGAAAGAATGCAGCATGTTCTACTTTGAACTACTACTACTCAGAACTGACTGTACTGGTGTGAACTAGGGCCATTGGAATACATGAAAAACACTGTGCATGCATTTTTGATGCAGAAAAAAAAAATGCACTGGACTACATCTGGTGTGAACCTGCCCTTAAGCATGTAGATGTGGTGAAGACGACTTGCTGAAGTTCAAACTGAGCACCAGAATTGGGAAGAAAGGGAATTTAGGTGACTTTGAATGTGGCAAGGTTGTTGGTACCAGATGGCTGGTCTGGGTATTTAAAAAAAACTGCTTATCTACTGGGATTTTCACGCACAACCATCTCTAGGGTTTACAGGGACTGGTCCAAAAAAGAGAAAATATCCAGTGAGTGGCAGTTGTGTGGATGAAAATGCCTTGTTGATGTCAGAGGAGAATGGGCAGACTGGTTGCTGTGACATTCAGTTGGTAGGGTCAGACTTTGGTGTAAACAACATGAAAGCATGGATCTATTCTGCCTTGTATCAATGGCTTAGGTTGTTGGTGGTAGTGTACTGGTGTGGGGGATATTTTCTTGGTACCAGCGAGGTGTACCTAATAAAGTGGCCAGTTAGTGTACATTCCAAGAATTTTAACAAACGTTGTCGCAGATTTCTGCCTGTTTTTGCTCTGAGGGAATATGAAGTGACTAATTCATTACTAGCAGATTTCAGGGTTCTAAACTATATCTAAAAAGAGTGCAGTGCTCTGAACACTATCTACCTCTGACACAGTGATCTAGTCATATAAAAAAATATGATCACAACATAACAAAGAACTGTATTGTACTAAAAACTATCTGATGGCATGAACACATCACAAATGTTCCATAAAGATTATACATACACAAAAAAAACATAATTTTATGATCACTGACAGGTTTAGTGAACACTGATACAATCACGCCATTTAAAGTTAACGAAACCTCGAAAAGGATTTTATTTAGATGAAGAGATTTGCACGATTGGAATCAATGGTGGATTGTATATATGTATTGTGTGGATATTAAAACACTGATTTTGCAGCATATTATCATATGGATTAAAATTATTGTAATTCTTTTTTCTTTTTATATACCAAACATGTTATTTACTTACCTGCTCTATGCAATGGTTTTGCACAGAGCAGCCCCGATCCTCCTGTTCTCTGGTCCCCCCCAGTGCTCCTGGCTCCTCCCACTGCTGAGTGACCCCACAGCAAGACACTTGCTATCGGGGCACTAGTGTGTGCTTGTCCCTGAGCCCCGCCCCCCCTTTCTCCTCACTGGCTCTGATTAACAGTAGGAGGAGTTACCCTTTAAATGTTTATAGACTGGTCACAAATTCAGTTTAACCACATCCCAACCACCCTATAGCAGATATACTGCTACAGGGCGGCAGGGGTGCGTAAAATCATGTATATATACATGATTTTGTATTTCCCGTTAGGGGGCGCGAGAGCAGCACGCACCCCCTATCCGCGGCTGTCAATCACCGGGTCCCGGCTGGTAATTACCCGCCGGCGCCCAGTGGATACCGAGCATCTCCCATGGCGAGGAGGACTACTTTGTTTACGAACAGTCCTCCTCCCTGTTGGCTCGGGCACACTGCTCTGGATGGCTGTGCACAGCACAGCCATCCAGAGCAGTGTGCTTACAGTGAAGCACCAACACAACGCCCCCCAGTAAAACACTCTCCAACACACAGTTAATCCTTTGATCATGTTAACCCCTTCCTGCCCAGTGCCATTAGTACAGTGTCAGGTTTTTTTTTAGCACTGATCACTGTATTGGTGTCACTGGGAATGTCAGTGACACCAAGTCAGTTCCCCCCAGCCCCCAGTGTCAGAATGCCCGCTGCAGTCCTGCTAGAAGTTGCTGATCGCTGCCATTACTAGTGATAAAAAAAAAAACATTCCAGTATATATACAGCCATTTGTAAACACTATAACTTTCACGTAAACCAATTCATTTACACGTATTGGGATATTTTTTTTTCTTTTAGCAAAGACATGTAGCAGAATACATTTTGGCCTAAATTTATGACTAAATTTGATTTTTAAAATTTTTTTTTACTGGACATGTTTAATAGCAAAAAGTCAAATATTGTTTTTTTTCTCAAAACTCTTTTTTTTATATAGTGCAAAAAAACAAACACACAGGCGATCAAATACCAGCGAAATAAATCTCAATTCATGGGGGAAAAAATTACGTAAATTGGGTGC